TGACCTTCCTGTCGGTTGGTTTTTTCTTTTGTTTGCCGAAAACTTTTGTTTTGCTGCTCTTTTAACAGTTTCTTTTAGAATAATTTTCTTCTTTTACTCCGTTTCTTTCGAATGTCTTTCATTTTTTCAGTTCTATTTGCTTCCAGTAAATTATCCAAATAGCTTATAAATTGATTTATAAATGTAACAAATGTTTAGATTTTTACTGTCAAGCGGCATGCAGAGAAAATAGAAAATCACAAAATATCAAATAACAGATCATCATCATCATTGTTTTCTTCATATACAGTATTAATCCTTCCTGGAGGAAGGTCATCTGGCAACATGTTGGTTAAAATTATTAAAAAAAATATTATTTTACCTTTATTTTATATGACTGAGCTTTAGTGCCACGCTAAGAAAAAAAAAACATTTAAAAGCCATAAAATTACGAGAATAAAGTCCTAATATTAAGTCGTATGAGACTTTTTTTACAGCTCTCGTTTATTTATTTATTTTTTCTACGAGTCGGATCCACGACGCGACCCGTCAATCAATCAATCCAGTAGGCGTGTCAGCAAATGACCAATTTGAAGCTAAATGCTCCTTACCTGCAGAGCTGCGCTGCAGCCCATCCGAGCGTACCACCTTACTGTAAGTAGGTTCAAAGTCCTGATAATAATCTGATGCTGATGTGCTGACAGATTATCTCCTTATTTGTAAAACCAATACCAAAGTATAACTTAACAAGATGCTCAACATTCTTCATTTTAACGCATTTAAAATGTGGTAAACCCCGATTTATTGTGTTGGAGTTCGGATAATATTACGACTCATTTAGCTTCGGACTGGTCATTTGCTGACACGCCTACTGGATTGATTGACAGGTCGTGTCGTGGCTCCAACTCAGAAAATGTCCAAACTGTCCAATGTGCCATTTCATAAAGACTAAACATGGAGTCCGTGTGCTTCAGAGGGGTCTCCGTTCAGCTGGTGGCTCGGTGGTCCCAGTCCCGGACGGGTCCAGACTTACTGGGGAGGAGCTCATCCCGGCAGCCAGCAGTGCGCCTGCGGCCTGCAGGGCGACTGCGTGGACCCACAGCACTACTGCAACTGTGACGCCGACCGCACCGAGTGGTACGGAATAAAAACATTCATCATTTTTAACAAACAGCTGCTTCAGTTTACATTTTCCTCAAGAGTCACGTGTAAGCCTGCACACTAATCACTTCTCAGAATATTTAAACATTATCAGAGGTTATAAATATACTTTTTTTTTGTGTAAAAGCGATGTTTGTTAAAAGAGTTTTGGACACTAGTCATGCACAGCCCTGTGTTACATTCAGTACTGAATGATTTAAAATAACTCTACTGAATGTAATGTATTAACTTTAACCACACCTAGTTCTAGCTCAGCATCTGTAAAACTGACCACATCGACATGAAACACACGGCGCTGTCTAAGATCAGCTGGCTGCGGTGGCCATCTTGAATTTTGCTGGCCCCAAAGAATGAGCTGCACATCCAGCAGTTGCATTCTGCACCTTTTTTATTTAAAATTGTCCCGTGGTTCATGAAATATTTTGCTAACACACAGGCAGAAGAACACAGGCATGATCTGCCTTCATTTTGGCAGCAGGTTTAAAACATTTAGTTGTCCAATATTTACATAAAAAACAGAAATAATAAAGGAGCTTATAGTTAAATTACTGTTAAATCATTTTAATTAGTCCATCGTGATCAATGATCAATGATCATTAGGCATCATTTTCAGGCAGCATGGTGGGGCAGTGGTTAGAAGTGTCACTTCTCAGTAAGGACACGTGATCGCCTCCCAGCCTTTCTGTGTGGAGTTTACATGTTCTCCCTGCAAACACGTGGGTTTTCTCTGGGCACAGTAGTCCCTTGTTTATTACGGGGGTTACATTCCACATTCTAGAAATCCTTCCCACACTCTTGCAATGTTCTGAGCTCTTAAACCTGCATCATATTTATATGTAGCCAGTAAATTTTACTCACCAGCTCTGCAGAACAGCAGCTCGGTTCCGGTCCGACGCGGTTCTGTTTCAGCAGACCTACCCTGCCGGTTCTGGTCGGCTTTCTGGCTCGGAGAGAACACTGGACCTCTGAGCAGCACCTCCCTGCTGTGAAGGCCTCGTGGGTTACACAATTTATCCACAAAAATATTGTTATATCTTATTTGTTTCTTCATTTACCTTCAATTATAATGGATGTTGCTCTGTTTTACCATCAAATCTTCTATTTTTAAACACAACATTTTTCTGGACAGATGACCTGACTGAAAAATGTTGGATTGTATACCTGGATTATTGAGCATGGACTTTGTTCTATTTTTAAACTTTTGTTGTTGTTGTCGTTTTGCCTTCCAGGACCGAGGACTCAGGCATGATCTCCCAGAAGGAGAGCCTCCCAGTCCGGTCTCTGGTCCTGGGTGACGTCCAGAAGTCGGGGTCGGAGGCGGCTTATAGGGTGGGACCACTCCGTTGCCATGGGGACAGTATGTTAACCTAAAAGATCCAGCATGTCTACACTTTATTGCCAAAATGGAAGGATTAAATGTTCAGCCAGCAGATCCATTAATCACACAACGAGTCTGAGAGGGAAAACAGCTGAAACAAACGTGCACGGAATTACCGTTTGAATTAAACAAACATCAGAAACGGGGCAAACCATAAACAGATTAAAATGTAATAATAGTAATTATAGCACTTTTCTTAATGTGCTTTAGAAAGTGCTTCACATAATTACGGCAATTTTAACTAAAATCAAGATGCAGCTGGAGTAAAAACAAATAATGCAAGACAAACACCACCAAAACAGACAAATTAAATATAAAATAGCATTAAAAATCATAAAAATACTCCTTTTATTGAAATCAAACCTGAGGTGATTTAAGACCTGGTCTCAGTTTATCCATCTGAAGTCTGAATCAATTCCATCCCGTCATTTTCAGCCTCAGAATCAACAAACGACAGAAAAAGTGAATAAATAGATAAATTGAGGTCGTGAAGACCCTGAAGAGCGTTTTAAAATCCGTTGCAACTCACGCTGAGAGCCGACACAGAAACGACACAATCTGTTTGATCTGTTTTCTCAGAGTTTGGTTGAGAATCATACAACGTGTTAGGATTATTCACATCAGCCCGGCAGGACGTCTTAAATAACTTTATCATTTCAGTTCAAAGATTTTGAAGAAGATTGTCTGAACTTTCAGGAAATTTCTGGAACGCTGCGTTTTTCGACAAGGAGACGTCGTACCTCCACTTCCCGACGCTCCACGGCGAGCTGAGCGCCGACATCTCCTTCCTGTTCAAAACCACGGCCTCCTCCGGCGTGTTCCTGGAGAACCTGGGCATCAAAGACTTCATCCGCATCGAGCTGAGCTGTGAGTTCAAGAAGCGGATCCTTGTCCAGTGAAGCTTTGCTGTTTTTAACACGCTTTGATTCATCAGTCTGTTTGTTCTTCATGCGGTCTCATTTTATTCTGTTGAGCCGCTCCTTAATCCCAGTTTCAGTTATTACCCCCCACCCCCTCATCTCATAGTAATCACCACATCACACCACTTTATGTACAACCATAAACAGAAAAGCTGTAATTACTGCAGACCCTGGTTTTAATTTTATATATGTTTTATGACCTCTCGGGGGTATTTTCAGCTGAACTCTTCATTAATTCCTCTCCTTCATGTAACACACATGTGGGCAAACAAAGGGTCATTTAAAGAACGGCTGTAATAATCAACGGGACGTTTAAGAGCACGAAATAAGAGCAGCTGGCTGTTAGAAGTTTGTTTAAAGTCTTCTCGGGACTGTAAAATATGAATTATAGCTCTAATTTTTATAGTCTAATAATGATGGTTTTATATTGTGTCAATTTGTAAAATGAAAACAGATTTCTTAGATCTTCATTTGAATCAGCTTTAACTTATATGAAGTCAGAAATAAGACACCACCTTTCATCGAACTTGGATTTGACAGGTGTCAATCAAGAATGACCGTAAAGTTAATGGGAAGGACCCCAGAGGTCATTTATGTAATTAAAAAAAGTATTATTTAATTTATTTATTTTAACTTTAATAGATTTTTTTATAAACATGCAAAAAGTAAATAATATCCAATAGAAAATTTAGATACAGTAGTCCCTCATTTATCGCCTGAAGCCCCGCGATAAGTGAAAAACTGCGAAGTAGGAGTAGTAGTACCAGTAGTACGTATAGTTTGTTTATTTTATTATATATATGTATGTATGTGTGTGTGTGAGTGTGTTTTAAACTCTTCCCACACTCTTGCAATATTCTAAACAATGTTTCTAAACGCTCTAAAAGAGCACAGCATGTCATGATTTCATCTCCCTGCCTCGGCAGCACTCTGCCACCTGCCAGCGCTCTTGGCCACGCCCACTTCTCCGCTGCAGAGCGGAGATCTGACGCGCTGCAGGAGGAAGTTCATCCTTCAGCTGTGGGCACAGGTGCAGCAGGTGCTAAATAATTTTAAATAATTTATTTTAAATAAAAATCCCATGCCGATTGTGCGGCTCATCCATCAATCAGCCGATTGTGTGTCATGTTCAATTTTACTGTGATAAACCGCGATGGAGCAAGTCAGCAAAACAGATACCGCGAAATAGCGACAGACTACTGAATAGCTCATTTTGCTCAAGAGGACATACATGACTGGAGAAGGTGGGTAGTGCGGACCTAAGATGTAGTCCTCCTCCGTCTTCAGGCTGGATGTTTACTCTCCACTCTCTGTGTGCTGCCCCAGTAACCTTCTCCATGCTGGTCCATGTCAAGTTGAAGTGGAAAAAGTCTGTAGCAGGGACCACACCGTCTCCTTAGGAGTTTGAGGGAATCTTGATATTGGACTTGTAAATGCTTACCTGACAAGACCTTTGACCGGTCAGGCTCTTTTTTACTCTGCCAGACTGCTTCGACGAGAAGATTTTTCTCCAGAATTTCTGCTTGAGATGGAAAACGTTCCCCTTTGACTTGTTTCTCAATCATCGATGAGTGTTCATTTTCTCCCCGGCTTACGTCAGGTTTTGTGGTGTAAATATTCACCAGTCTGAGAACTGCCCAGTCGTATGCTAGTGCCCCTACAGGAGTGAAGGTCCTCCATTCCTCATCTTCATCCAGCTGATACAGACTGAGCTGGCCTTTCTCTTAGCTGAACACGTATCCTCACGCACCGCAGGATCGGCACGGTTCTAAAGACCACAGATCAGGTGCAGGGAAGCAATTCAGTGGAGAGAGTTGCGTTCTACACAGATAAAACAGGGTTCTGCAGGGAACATCTGAAGCTCGGGCAGGATACAGGTAGATCGATACAGGGGTGTCACAAACTAGAGCGGTGTTCTTTGCCGTGAAGGTGTCGTGCTGTTTATCCAGGGTTCTCAGAGTTGAGTAAATATTGTGGACTGTGGTTCTAGTGACCATTACAGGAGGCTTCTCAGGCTACATTGAAGAAATATCTACTGTAGATGGTCCTTCCATGTTCCTACAGGAGTTGTTTTTAGTTAAAGTTGATGATCAGCAGTAGATGGTCCCTGTGGGAGGTTTTCACCCTGACTCTGATAGCATGTTGCCTCCACAGTCTCAAACTGGAATATTTTTACCCGTTTGATCAGATCATTAAGAGTAAACGATAACGGAACGCTGTACAAACATTCAAATGATTAGAAGTCCCACCTCTTTTCTGCTTGGATAACAAATGTGTGCATGTGTGGTGGGGTGGATGGTGGCTGAGAGCAGACAAACAAAGCATATTTCTCAAACTCAGACCTTGTATTTATTTATCTATCTAGGAACCCGATGATTTTCCACTTAGCTGTGGGAAAGCTGAACAAAAGATCAAAGTTTCTCAGATAAGACAAAGACCTTTTATTATTCCGGGTGACATCGACATCGGTTATCATGAGATAACCTTTAGGGTCATTCTTGAATGGGGAAATAGTAATCACATGACCTCTGGGGTCATTCCCATGACCTTTCATTCTTGATTGACACCTGTCAAATCAGAGTTTGACGACAGGTGGTGTCTTATTTCTCTCTAGTTCTTTTGTGTTATTTTTGATTCATTTAATTCAAGCTTTTGTGAATCATGAACAGTCCCAGCGGAGCATACAGTAGATAATAAACGGTTGCATAATATTTGGAGGACAAATAAATCAGGCTTTATTTTTAGAGCAAAATGAGAGCAACAACATTTAGAGGTATGGATGAAGTTCTCAGGAGACCAAAGAAAAGTCAAAGTCCAACTTTGTTTCTTCCTGGTTAGTTACAAACTAAAACATGAATGTTAGTCAGCTCCAAATAATGTAGCCAGCAATCAGCTTACGGACATTCTGTAGAACAAGTCTAGAGTTTCGTGGCTTTTAGCTTTTGGCTAGCATTTTGTTACTAGCAATGAGTTTATTACTTTTAGCTTATAGCTGAAGTATTTTTTTTACATTTTGTTCCTTTTAGCACATATTTTTCTACTTATTTATTTGTTTATTTGTTTATTCATTGGCCGTTTTTGCTATTATTTATTAGTTAATTAATTGATTCATTTTATTAGCAGTTTTTGCTATTTGTTTATTATTTATTTACTGTATTTGTTTGTTTATTTATTTGCTGCCAGCAATCATTTTTAATGCTTTTAGATTATAGTATTTTTTTACAAGCATTTTGTTTCTTTTACATAGAAAACTAGCTAAATGTAGCCAAATGCTAGTTTTATCTCTTTTGACTAGCCTTTTGCTACTAGAAAACATTTTTCTACCCTTATCTTATTGGTAGCATTATTTTTTTTTTACTTTTAGCTATCATTTGGTACTTTTATCTAGTGGATTTCAATGTTTTGCTTTTAGCTAACATTATACACCTTTTAGCTTTAGCTCTGTTCCATTCAGTTCAGCACTCGTCATTTTTACTGTTGCCTTTTTACAAAAAAATTATTTTGTTTTGCTACATTTACAAAAAGTCAGTAAAGGAATAGATGAACATTAACATGTTGAATAAGAAAATACAAAAAACAACATATTTAACGGTCTAATGACAGAAGGACCAGAAGGCGTTGGAAAAGATAAAGACAGTGTGTAAAGAACAAAATCAACTGTCATGTCAACTTTGTAATGATTTATTTTTAACAGAAGTGGGAAATTTAGCGCAGTAAGAAGGCTTTAATTAGCGTTTCAGTAAACCCAACAGGCAAACAGGATGTGATCAAATATGATAGGAGATTAAAAAGATGTGAGTTTTCTGCTGTATTATCAAAACAAGCGTCCCTTTGTGTGACAGTGTAAATCCATCATGGTTCAGAACCGAAGGGGTTCTTTCTTCAGATATCAGTCATATGTAGTTATAGCTTTAGCTTGCATTAGTTTTTGTGTTTTATTTTGAAGACAGCTGATATTTTAAACGCACACACACACATACACACACAAAGAATCTGGCTCAGGGAAAGCAGCCCGTAACATCTCTCTCCGGGGAAATTATTGTCTGCGTGGTTGTTCCAGCTCTATATGCTGCTGCTCCGTTTCCATCAACCTCAGATTGCTCCAACACTGCAGCCGGGCCCGGGAACAAATTTCTAAATAAGTTACTGCTGGATGTCGGGGTCTTTTCTCATCTTGTTTTGTGCTCCCAGAGCGATATGTCCACCCTCCACCAGAAGAAAAACATAAAGGATGGTGGTTTGGTTCCTCCGCAGTCCCTTAAATCTTTCTGTGTTGATGGAGAAAACAAATAGAGCACAGCAGACGGCCTGGAGGAGGTAAATAAAGACTTCAGCTCCGAGTCGCTCTCCGTGGTGCTGAAACGAGGCTCTGAAGCTGACCGTGGTCCTGAAACACGACTGAAAGGAAAACTGCGCTGCAAAAACAAGATTGTATTTGCCCTCAAAGTTACAACTCTGTTAGTGCGAATTTGAACTTGACGGGTCTCTAAAAACAACACGAAGAGGCAAAAATAATTCATCCAACTCTCAGAGGACTGCAAGACACCGTGCGATGATCAGCGGAAAAACAACTGGTTATAATTGGCTGCTGAGTGTGGGGCGGAACAGATCTGTCCTTCTGTGGTAACTTATGTTTCCTAACAAGTACTTGGAGTTTTACCTTAGAGTGTTAGCACAATTGGGGGGTTTATGAGTGATTTTCTTTAGTTTGTGTCTGAACAGGTTCAGGTTGTCCATAAAGATGTAATGGGGGAAGAAATTAAACCCCTAATGAGGGCGAGTTCACATCACAGGCAGGCGCAGGGAATTTAATTCAAGTCAAGGCAATTTTATTTATAAAGCACGTTTAAAACAGAAGCTGTCAAAGTGCTCAACAAAAAAATCAATGAGAGTAATCTAATGAAAAAAAAAAACATTATCATTAAAAATAAAGAATAACACAGAATAAAATAAAAGAAAATACTAAATCAACTCAGACAGTGCGAAATGCCAGAGAAAACAGACGAGTTTTTAGCAGAGATTTAAAAACAGGAAGAGAAGTGGCCTGTCTAATGTTGGGGGGCAGATTGTTCCAAAGTTTGGGGTCCACCACTGGAAAAGCCGATCGCCTCTGAACTTCAATCGTGTTTTTGAACCAAAAGCATCAGATCAACTGATCTCAGGGCCCGAGAGGGAACATACGGTTGAAGTCATTGAGAGATAAGGGGGTGCAAGGCCATTAACGCATTTAATGGATTGCAGGAGAATATTTTAATCAATTCTGATACATACAGGGAGCCAGTGAAGGGAGGACAAAACTGGTGTATTGTGCTTGAACCTATGAGTTCCAGTTAATAGCCGAGCTGCAGCATTCTGGATGAGCCGGAGACGGGAAATGGACTGAACCAGCCTAGAGTGTGTTACAGTAGTCCAGTCGGGTAGTAATAAAGGCATGGACTAGTTTGTCAAGATCAGTTTCACTTCAGGATTCTTCTTCAATTCAGAATTTTTTTTTTTTTAACAGAACTTGGAACATTTGATGTGGATCGGACCATCTGGGGCGGGGACGGGCGGTTTGCGAGTAAAGGCAGGAGAGCTGAGGGAAACGTGGAGACACAAGGGAGCGTCATGAAACTGAAACACAAATATTACACAAATCTGTAACTAATACATGTAACTGCAAAACCTACAGGCATAATAAGAGTTTGATAATATTTATTTATATAGTTTGATGATAAAATAACTTTATAGGCTAGAAGTATGGTTTTGAATTCAATTCTGGATTTGACCAGGAGCCCACGGAGAGAAGCTAAAACTGGAGAGATGTGATCTCTCCCACTAACTCCAGTTAAGACTCTGGCAGCAGCATTTTGGCTCAACTGAAGATGTTTTAAAGAAGTATTTGGACACACAGATAACAAACCATTGCAATACACGCAACCGTAAAACCTACAGGCATGATAAAAGTGACAGCGCACACATTACGCTGTCTGACAGGAAAACATGCTCTGTGTATTTTGACAGTGTTCTTGAGCTATTCGTTAGTTTGTAATACTTATACATTTATATAAACGATCATGTCATACAAAGCTATTCACATTTCAAAATACTAGAAACTAAGGAGATGCTCTTTAAAGTCTGTAATTTATTATTGTTTTGTCTCATTTAGCTTTTTGCTTCCCGTCTTTGTCACCCTGTCAGCACCGGTGTGTTTTTTTGTTTTGTCTCTTTTTTTTTTTGTAATTTACCACTTGGTCTGCTCCCTCCTCTGTTTTCTACATGTGTTTATTACCACTTTACTTTACTTTTGTTAGTTTACTTGGATTGCCTCTGTTGGCATAATGGGGTAATGTTTTAAGTTAAATCAACTATAAATTAAAAACAGCTTTCATTATCACTACCTGTCTGTCTTTGTACCTAATTTGGGTTGATCAGGAGTTTAAATTGTTCTCTGATTCTTTCCAGACTATCATTTCTTTTCTGCATGTCGAAGACTATGTTCTGGTTCTCCTCAGTTTGCTGTGTTGTTGTTTGCTAACCTCTCAGAACTGTTCCCAATCTGTTTACTTCAAAGCTTTCTTATTGTTTGTTGTTTTGTTGCGATGGAGTAATTAAATTTGATTCCCGAGAGTCCTGCGTCCCTGCATTCATCTGCTCTGCGTCTCTGTGCCCGAGTCAAACCAGCCCGCTTGTTAACGCTCTTTATTCCCCGCTCGTTGGCGGCACATTTTAAATCTGCTCTGGGAGCTGTTTGGACGCAGAAGAGAGGAGGTTTGTTCAGCTGCACTTTGCAAACATCTGCCTCCTGAAGCTGAACCTCTGTGGTTTGACAGAGACGTCCATTTGTCATCAGAAGGAATGAATGCAGAGTGTTTGGATAAATGAAATGCTCGTTTTCAACCGGCAATTATCTTCAGAACAAACGAGCAACAACTGAGTGTGTGTTTTATTGTCGTCTAAACTGCAGCGGTCTCAGAAGTTTTACTCATCTGATCCTGTTTAGTCACAATCTGATTAATTTCTTTAACGTTTTAGATCCATTTTAACAACTAGTCTTATTTTTGATTATAGTCCCAGATCCTAAATTTCATTACATTTAATTTATTGTGTTTAGTCAGTAAACGTTTCTACAATAAATCAAGTATTTACGGTTTTGTTGCTCCAAAGTCTAAATTAATTATTTTATTACGTTGGTTAAAGTCCAGTTCCTTTTCCACCTCCACCTCTCATGCCCCTTTTTGTCTCCGTCAAGCCTCCACTCAGGTGGTTTTCTCCTTCGATGTTGGGAACGGGCCCCTGGAGGTTCAGGTGGAGTCGAGGGTCCCGCTAAACGACAACCGGTGGCATCGGGTCCGAGCTGAGCGGAACATCAAGGAGGCGACTCTTCGACTGGACGACCTGCCCGTCTCCACCCAGCAGGCCCCGACTGAGGGCCACGTCCACCTGCAGCTCAACAGCCAGCTGTTTATAGGTGAGGAGCGCGGGCGTAGAAGCAAACAAACCCACAAGTCCCCGGTTCTCTTGTTTTATTGTTCATCGTTGACACAGTTTAAGTTTTATTGAAGATGCCATGTTGTTTTTTTACAACCAGAGTCTGCACACTAGGTTATGTGGTGCTTTAAGTCTTGCCTTAAGCATGAAATAAGTAATTACAGCTAAACATATTTTAAAAATTAATAACTGAACAGACAATGACAACATGTATCAACAAGAGTCAGCAGCTAAAACAAAAAATAATCCCAGTCCAGATGTTTTTATTATTATTATTATTATTATGTTTAAGAAAGAGCAACATCCCATTTGTTTACATAAAGAGGCGGGGCTTAAAGCATCCGGTACAGAAGCTGTAGCTGCTCTGGCTTCAACTTCCAGGTTCCCACATGGTGTCTATTATTTCCTTTTACAGAATGCTGATGCTGTAAAGCAACGCTCGCAACATTTCAGAACCAAACGTCTAAAATAATTTAAATTCTTCTCGTCAACTACTGATTCATAAACCAATTTGTCATGTTTGTTTTAAATTAGTTTCTATTCAACTCAAGTCAACTTTATTTATAAAGCACACCTATAAAAACAGCTGTTCCCAAAGTGCATAAGAAAAGTAAATGGGAGTAATTTAATAAAAAAAAAAAATATGTATATATATATATATATATATATATATATATATTAAACGCATCAAAATAAAATATAACAAAGAACAATAAAATACTAAAATCAAATCACACTGTTAAACGCCAGTGAAAACACTTTCTGTTTTTAAAAGAGATTTAAAAACAGGAAGTGAAGTGGTCTGTCTGATACTGGGGGCTACGACGTTTATTTCTAAATAAAGATCTTTACATAACATCAAACTGAAGATGCTCCTCTTCATTCAAACTTGTACAAATAAACAATGTTTATATGATTAAACTCACAACGACGGATCGTCTGTAAAGAGTTTGACTTTTGAGTGTGATGTTCTTGTCTGACGTCTTCATCCTCCTGTGGTTTCTTTGTCTCTGACAGATTATCGGATCCATCTGTGATGAACTTTAAACCAGTTTTCATGAGATGTCTCAGCTGCACAGGCAAAGATCCTCTGAAAACAGAAAATAGTTTAAATAGTAAAGCTGACCAGAGTTAAGATTTAAAATGATTACAACATAAATAAATCTGTTTTGTATGCATGTATCCTTTATTTAACCAGGAAAATAACTCATTGAGATTAAAAACCTCTTTTCCAAGAGTGACCTGTAATTACACATTAGAGCAGTTACAGGAGCCAAGTGATCTGAGCTCTCGTTCCTTTAGAATTGATTTAAATTGGCCCAACGTAACAAGAGATGATCACTTTAAATCCTTCTGCAAATTAATTGGCATCAGTAAAAACAGTTTCTCAGCACATTCCAGACGTCAAACCCTCATTTTAATTCCTGAATGTTTACTTTGTTTTATTTTCTAATACAGTAACTTATCTTGTTTAAGCATTAAGCAATTCATGCAGGGCTCAGATGAATAAAGACATAATTCTCTCTAAATTTATACATAAAATCATGAATATATTGGCCTGAATTATAAACTGTATGAGTTTATTTTTCAGCAAATTGCATTTTTTTTTTAAAAGCGTGCACTTTGTGGCTGCGTTGGGTACGCTAAACTCAGCGTGCAAAAGCATTACCAGTTTCTTTACTGCCTATTTTACAGTCAAACATTAAAACACGGGAGTTTCAAAGGGAAGTTTCCTCCATGTTTCCATGTTACGTGTTGCTTTGGAAAGAAAAGTTTTTATCTTTTTATTTTGCAGCTAAAGTTCGTAGTTTTTCTATAACAAAGGGGGCAATTTTCACAGCCTTTAATTTAGAAATGAGAAACTATAACCATCAAATATTAGACTTTTACCAGTTTCTACTTTCAGATCAGTTGTTGCTCTCGTGATACCTTTAAAGTTTATTTAAACATTTCAAAGGCCCTGCATGACGGCTGAAGTGACAGCCAACACAGGAAACTCTTGCAAATGTGCGTTGTGTCTCCATTAAACGCTATAGTTTGTCATTTTTCATCCATATTTTGTTCAGAGTATTTCAGCTCTTGTCTTCTTTGCTTGAGTTTTATTTTATTGATAAGCTGAAACTAATTAAGACACGCCTACAGCAATATCACCCGCTACCGTTCATGCCTTTTTTTAATTTTATTTTTATTGAAATCATCAAGTGTCGACAAATGATAAGATTTAAGTTGATTCAATCTCTATTTTCTCTCAAAAAATGCAAATCTATCGACGAAAATGGAGCTAAAATGTACATTCGAGTCCATGAAATTCTGTTTCTGTCTGAAATAATCAGAACTTTGATGACTTTTGTCTTTTAAAACCACAGATGGAATAATTAACACGTCATTCAATCAAACCATGGAAGCATCTAAAATAACGAATCTAAAAATTAGTGTTGAAGTGAAAAGAAAAGTCTAGGATGTTTGTTGTTCGTAAGATAAAATAATAAATCTGTATTCTTGCTTGTGACAGGCAGACTCAGGCTGTAATTCATCACGGCTGCCAATCACTTAATAATCCAGTCGGCTGCCAGAACGATGCTGCAGAGACATAAAGAAACCTGATGAATGTCATGTCTCTGAGTCATCCTCTCCACCTGCAGCTCATCGCTTCATCGCTTCATCGTTGTGTTTATCTCACAAGAGTCTCGACAATTTAAAGCTTCAGAGGAGCGCATGTGACAGGTGGATTTGTTGTAAATGTCAGGCGGGAAAAATAGAAGAAATGCAGACTTGTCAGCGTGCGAGACAATAATTAAGGTTTTCAGGCCAACATTACAGACGCAGGAGGAGCAGTCTGGATGAGTTTTAATTTTTATATTTCTTGCAGGTTTGCTACTTTTAAAAACTTGTTTCCTTGTCTGCAGGCGGCACGGCGTCCAGGCAGAGGGGCTTCCGGGGATGTATTCGCTCTCTGCAGCTGAACGGCGTCACCCTGGACCTGGAGGAGAGGGCGAAGATCACGCCTGGGGTCCGGCCCGGCTGCCCGGGTCACTGCAGCAGCTACGGCTCGCTCTGTCAGAACCAGGGCCGCTGTGCGGAGCGAGTCAACGGCTTCTACTGCGACTGCAGCGCGTCTGCTTACACCGGGGCGTTCTGCCACACAGGTACACGCTGCTGATGCAAACAGGACAGAAACATCACAGGTAGTAGTAGCTGAGCATCATCCTCAACGCAAACTTTGAGAAGAAAGACAGCTGAAATTTCTTTATCTTTATAGATTGATTAATTGTGCAGAGACTGGTGTTAAGTCTTTATGACTAATTTGCAATGTGCTTTCTCAGATGGACCTTTATCAAAATAAAATTAATTCAGTTCAGTTTATTTATAAAGCACCAAGTCAAAACAGAAGTCATCTCAGGGCGCTGAACAGAAACATTCACATAAAAAAAAGTAAATTAGTAAAAGTTATCGATCTAAGGAAGCAGCAGATTGTGTTGAATCTTCATTTCATCACAGTCTCCCATCCTGAGCAAGCACAAAGGAGACAGTGGAAAGGAAAAACTCTGTCATAACAGGAAGAAACCCCCAGCAGAACCAGGCTCAGGACAAGCGACCATCTGCTTCGACCAACTGGGTTTGAGAGGACAGGAAGGAGAAACGGACACAGAATCCAGGTCCAGGATGAAGGCGAGCAGTTCTTTCTCTAGGAAAGATAATAAAAATAAAAAACACATGTTAAGATAGAAATAATTACAAATACAAACTAATATTTGGATAAATTTGTAACTATTCATTTGATGAAATGAGGTCAATTTGTCCTCCAGTAGTCTAAGCATAAAGCATGTCTGTGCTAAGGGTTAGCTCAGGAAACCCAAGCCAACCCCAACTATAGGATTTATCATAAAAGAAAGTCTTAATCCCAGTCTTAAAACTGGACAATGTGTCAACCTCACGGACAGAAACTGGAAGTTGGTTCCAAAAGAGAGGAGCCTGAGAACTGAAAGATCTTCCTCTCATTCTGCTTTTAGAAACTCTAGGAACCACAAGAAAACCTATAGTCTGAGAGTGAAGTGCTCTGTTAGGAAAATATGGAACATTAAGATCTGTAATACAAGATGGAGCTAGGTTGTTGAGGGCTTTGTAGGTTAAAAGTGAGATTTTGAATTTGTTTCTGAATTTGATGGAGCCCGTGGAGAGAAACTAAAACCAGAGAAACCATAACCATTAAAACCATAGTTTAAAAATGTTACACTTTTAAGATAATACATAAAACAAAATTACACATCAATTAAAGGGTAGCATTTGGTGCAGCACATTGGTTTAGTGGTTAGCACTGTTGCCTCACAACAAGAAATGTCGTGGGTCCAGTCCCTGATTTGGTTCTGGGGTCTTTCTGTGTGGACTTTGCTGCTTTCAGACCCGGACGTCCGTTTAAAAAGGGGATCTGATCTTAGCGAGATTTTCCTGATTAAATAAGAATAAATGCTGAAAAATAAAGTTATTTATAACTTCAAAACTGATTCTCTTTCAGGATGTGCTTCAGTCTTGATCTAAAATGATTCCAGTCAGGAATTATTTTTAAATGTGAAGGTTGTGAATTCCACAGTTAGAGCCCTCGTACACTTTTCAAGTTTATGATAAATGTCTTTATGCTTAAATTTTACATAATACTTCTATATCAGGCATTGAATCCAGTCAGTGATCAGCTTTTATCTTTTTTTTTTACATTTTCTAGACAAGCATTGTACAAAAGTGTTAATATATTTTAACATGTTTGAAATGACATTGAAAAACTATCACATATTTGCTGAACTATTGGCTTGTAGTTTGTTGGGTAATAAATCAGAATCAGAATAAACTTTATTATCATTGCACCGAAGTACAGTGAGATTATGTTCATACAATCATCCGAAAGATGGGCGGAGTGCACGTTGCTGCTGCTCCTAAGAGCGCGGCCTCTTATTCGTTAGATGGAAAAGGCCGTGAGGAAAGGATTGCGGTATTAAAAAAAGATCTCTTCACACCTTGTCCTTATAAGGACACGATTTAAGACATAAAAAACTACCAGTAAGCACATTTATAAACACATTACATATGCATTCAACAACAAGATGGTGAGATTTGTCCATGAAGCACTTCCAGATGAACCACAGTCCTGTTAAGATGTTGGTGTAGGCCGATACAGCTGTGATGTGTTCACATAAGTTTTTTTTATTTTGTGTGTGTGTGTGTGTGGGGGGGGGGGGTATGGATAGAGCAGAGCCTTCTTAGCTTACACATATCCAAGGAGAAATTTGATAAGTCGGCCTGCTTTGAGACCAAACGGGGGAGGAGTCATTCAGATAAGTAGCAGTTGTAGATTTTTTTCAGGCAGACTGTTATTTCTCGTCAACCTTGAGTTCTGATGGTACTTTCGATGATCCAAAATGACCAGATTTGTGGGTATGCCACTGATCCGTGCTTATTAGCTCCCTCCAAGGTCATCCCCAACATGCGGGCGAGTCCCAGAGGCCGCAAGTGGCCTACGATTCTCACAAATCGCTTCCATCTTACGGTTGAGCTCGAATATCAGCTGATTTTGAGTATTCGAAGCACAAACCAAACCTTCAAATAAGGTTAGCAGCAACTTCTTTAATAGTCGATAACATAGATATCCGTCAGTGCCAAAAAGCAGAAACCCTGCTATCATGATTCCAATTATATGAACATCTTGGGCATCCTCCTGAGACAATACGGAAAGACACATCAGCTTCCAATCCCTCCACGGATCCGTGACGTACCCTGCCGCGCACGTCTCAGCGGCAATTGCGTTGAAAGTCCAGCTGACCAGATCCATGACAGTAGTTTTCGATTCAGAAGATGTGTAAATAGAAGCTCCGATAGACAGGACAGAGAGCAAAAAAAGCAGGAGGGAGACGGGAGCGGGAAGAAAAGCATCCGTCTTGCTCGAGAGCGAGTGAAAAAAAGAAAAATCTACTGTCAGACTTGTTCAGACTGCTCAAGAATCCAAGATTGACAAAAAAAAAAACTAAATTTGACTGAACATTTCCAGTAAAGAGTTTCTAATCAATCGGCAGATTTTAAATATCATTTGATGTTTAAGGACTCCATTAGGATCAATTCTCACTCTATGGAAAGCTTTAAAGGATGAAAATGCAAATAGAGTTGAGTTTTTCTGAGACTCTGTGTGGGCGTTTTAAAGGTTAAGAATCTATATTTTTCCACGTCATTTTTCTGCATTCTCTGCACTTCACGCTCATTAAAAAGCTCTCGGCGCTGTGAAATCAAAGGTTTAATGCATCCTGAGTCGTATTTAATCTGTCGCCGTGCTGACCTTCGTGTTCAGGTTCGGTCGTTTCTCTTCTGTTGTTTAAAGAAAACTTATTCCTGCAGCTGCTGCCGTTACTTAAGACACGAGTCTTTGTCAGCGAGCTAAATCACACAATGAGCTCTTTAACTGAGAAAACTGCAGATGGGCAGACTTTTTTTAAGTTTCAGGGAAACAGATGAACCCGTTTATCTTTTCCTATAATTAGGGATTTTTTTTATTTATTCTGCTGCTTGTATTTAAAGGACAGACCTGTTTTTATGATATTATAATATGATCCTGACGTATTTTGTTTCTGCAAAAATCTAATTAAAATGACCCTGAGCAGCTTACTGTATCGAATTTAAAAAGTTGTTTAAAAATATGAATTTGAATATGAATATTAAAGGCTGAATAAGGTCAAAGGTAATCAAAGTTTCTGCTGTAAAACTCCTGAAATTTTCAGTCGTTAAGAATGTTCTTTTTTAAGAACTATAAAGCTGATTTTCTAATTTGTATTTGTTATCATATTTTAATGCATTGTCCTGTTATTTGGTCTTACTTTATCCTTTTAGAGTTTTGTTAACAGTCTTAAAAAGTTTTACAGTTATTCAAACAAAAAGTCAGATTTAGATTCGGTGATGTTTAAAGTATGGTGGGTTGGACCCAGAGAATCTCCAGAACAAATTAGACTTTTAATAACTGCAGGAAAGCAACGTGGTAAGAAACGCATCACTTAAAAAGGTAATAAGTTAAAAACTGAAGAAAACCCTGAAGAAAAATCAAAACTTGGAAGACAGATGGTGATAGTGAACAGGTGTGTTGATCACTAATAGAAGACAGGTGGCACTGTAGAAGATGTGACATCTTCTCTCTTTTGCCTTCGACGAAGACAGTCACTCTTACCTTCCCTCACTCCCTCCTGCTTTTTTGCTCTCATGTCTTGTCAATCTCTCTTTACACATCTTCTGAATCAAAATTATTATGGATTTGGTCAGCTGGTCCCTCAACGCAATTGATATAAATTTTCCACCAGACGACATGGTGCTGGAGAGCCTGAACGGACCCACACAGCTGGGTGTGTCACTGGTTCCTGGAATGAGTGGAAGATGGTGTGCCTATCTGTGCTGTCCATGGAGGACGTAGAAGACGTGTACATTATTGGATTTATGATAACAGGGTTTCTGCTTTTTGGAATCGATGGATACCTTCGATATCAACAAATTAGGAAGAAGTCGACTGCAGTTTAGGCCATGGTAAAGCTGCCAGCCTTATGTGACAGATTAATTTGTGCTTCGAGCGCCCAGACTCATACGCTTACCGAGCTCAACCGCAAGCTGGATGTGATTTCTGAGAATCGTAGGTCAACTGCGGCTCCTGGAATGCACCAGCATGAAGGATTCAATCTTGGAGAATGCTAAATTGAGTACGGAACGGGTGGAATGTCCACCAATCTGGCTGTTTGAATTCACCATTGAGTTGTACCAGCAGAACTTGAAGGCAGACAGAAAACTGTCTGGCAGACCAAACACTTGATATTTATCTGAACTTGTCCTCCCCCGCTGGCATTGGACAGGCCAACTTATCTCAAATTTATCCTGGTAGATAAGTAAACTAGAAGTTTCTGCCTGCCCCTTTTTTGGCTTCCTCCACCCTCACATTCTCTTTTTCTCATCTGCCTGTATGTAACAGGTCTCTCTTATAAATGAGTCTTCAAAGCTCAATGGGAACTATCCTGTATAAATAAAGGTCTAGTAAAAAATTATGTACATGAATAATATACAGTAACTTAACATAGTATATAAAGTACTTAAACTAAAATATAAAATCAAAAAACTGCAAACATCCATGCTGGACCTGTTCAAACTACATACAATAAAAACACAATCTGGGACAAAAACTTTATTTTGGGGTTTAGTGAATTGTGCCAATAAAAAGGATTCTTACAGATTGAATTAAAACTTTGGCTGCTTTGAATCTGAACAGAAAGCAGTCGTGTTTCAGCATGAAGACGCATCATAAGTATTTTAAATGAAATCCTGAAAGCTGGTTGAAGAAACTGCTTCTGGCTGTGCTGTATTTTTGTTTTTGCTTGGTCCTTTAACGGCTCTGAAGATTCTTGCTCCTGATAATCCACCCGTCTTCTCTCAGAGCTGTCGGCCAGCTTCAAGTCAGGAACGTCCATCAGGTACACCTTCAAGGAGCCGTACGAGTCGAACAGAAACAGCAGCGCTCTGCCATCGTCCATCTACTCTGATACGACGCTGAGAGGAGAAAACGTCTCTCTGAGCTTCAGAACGACACAAAGTCCGGCTCTGCTGCTTTACGTCAGCTCCTACTACCGAGAGTACCTGGCTCTGATCATCAACAAGCACGGTGAGAAAGACCTCTTATCTGCTTTGTTTGGATTTAATTTACACATTTCTGCTTAGGGGCTGATGAGAGTGGTTCAAACAAATCATTTTCAAGTGATTTGACTCCAGCTGTGACACCTCCGTTCACACTTGGTGGTAGGCGTCAGCTACTTGTGCTGTATGAGAGCAACAAACAAAACAACAGGTCTGCTGATGTTCCTGTGGAAATAATTCATGCAGTCATCTGAACTGTATTGGTCAGACAGTAGCAGAGTTCTGAGATATTTGACTCAGTTTTGAAGCGTTAATCCTCGAAAAGCTTCATTATATCAGATGGGATGCAAAGACTGAAGAGAATGTAAAAAAAAAAAAACAGGTGGTCAGCTGTTTTACAAAGCTTCACTGTGAAGTCAACATCAGCTCTGTGTTTAATTAAGTACCGTATTTTCCACCGCACACGTCGAACCGCCATATAAGTTGCATCAGTCCAAATATGTCTAATAAAGTGGAAAAAACAAATATGTTGCTTCACTGTATACATCTCATCTATTATGCGTCAACGCTGACAACCCGGAAATGTGGGTCAGCGTTGTGCAAAAAAATAAAAAATAGATTGGCTGCTGTGGGAGAGTGCACGAGAGAACTTTAACAAGAATTTAACAAGATTAGCACCTATAAACAATTATTTGCTAGCTCGACTTTATATTAAAGGTGTGTCTCAGATGATATTTTCCTTAATAAATGCACTTTAATGGTCAAATCAGCTGCATTTCGCCTGGGGGGCGCGGCAAAATGCAGCTGATTCAACGTTTGCTCCAGGAGTTCCAGAGCGAGATGAAGGTGGAATTGTATGGCAAGCCAAGTGTCTCATTAATAGCCACTTTTACCTATTAATGAGACACTTGGCTTGCCATATTAGTCAAGGGCCCTCTAGTGGCTGAAAATGGTAGTGTTCAATATTTTCCATGTCAGAATGAATGAAATCATCAGCTCTTAGCCAAAAATTGGGTTACAAATATGGAAAATAGTTAAACAAAAATACGTCGCTTCAGTGTATAAGTAGAAGGGCATGCAAATTACACAAAAAACGGTGACTTATATGCCAGAAAATACGGTAAATATAAAACGACATAATGCTGCTCAGACCGTTGTCCTGACTGACAGTGCATTAGAGCTCACAGGGTCCACAGCAGGTCCAAAAGAATCAGAACAAAAACTAAACAGATCAACCACCCAATACTAAAATCAACTGATCAATAAAATGAACAATTCAATTAAAGTGAAGCAGATGAAAAAACTACAATGAAACAAAAACAGGAGGTTCCTCATCAGGAGGTCCCTCATAGGGAAGTTCCTAATCAGAAGGTTCCTCATCAGGAAGTCCCTAATCAGAAAGTTCCTCATCAGGAGGTTCCTCATCAGGAAGTCCCTAATCAGGAGGTTCCTCATCAGGAAGTCCCTAATAAGAAAGTTCCTCACCAGGAAGTCCCTAATCAGAAGGCTCCTCATCAGGAAGTCCCTAATCAGAAGGTTCCTCATCAGGAAGTCCC